GTTGTAGTTCGCTCAGTTTTTAAATTCCGCATGAGAGTTTACTCGCTAATTATGAAAGCCGCCCCCGTCCCCCCAAGCGCAATGCTAAAAGGAACAAGCCAGTTGTTGGCTTTGATAGCCCCTAGAAACAGTCAAACAGGGGCTTGGTAAGACTATTCTCACTCGAGCTCCCGAGACATCGCGCAGACTCGACCGGCAAGCACTTGCATTCACAGTGCTTGCAATGAGCATAGCCCAAAGCCTGCTGAATTCGGTTCAAACTAGTATTGGTTACAATCGAACATCCCTTGTTGGAGTCCCTTCGAGAAGCCAAACTAAACGCAATTCCAACTAGCTCATCTTGGATCTCATCTTGGACTCAAAAGGCGAAAGGCCAAAGGAAGAAGCACTGGACATCACTAGGCTGGATCGCAATGTTGTGGCGCTGCTCATATGTCGAAAGGCACTGAAGCCTCTCTTTTGGCCCACTTAGGCCTATGCACCCTGTCAGACGCTCTCCCATGCATTTCCGATTTCCGATGTTGCCTCACACGGGTCATGAGCCTTTGAGCCCGCCAGAAACCAAAACTTGGATTTCCGATGTATCCAACTTGCTGCGCTGAATAAAATTCCAATTCGACTTTCACAGCATTCACCACCTCAGGGTCACATCCTTGGACTGCGAGCCTCCAGCACATCCAGCAAAAGTTCGAGGTATCAAACAGCCCCTTCCGTGAGCGAAACGCGCATGAATCATGGAGCATTTGGGGGCAGAGTTTAAACAGGGAGCGCCGTGGGCAGAAATCCCGATCCGACATTTCCATGTGGCTTGTGCTTAGGCCCCGAAAAGGGCAATCCGGCATAGGCCATAGCGAATTAAAAAAGTCGCTTTGAGTGTTTGAAAAACCTACTTGTGGCTTTTCTTCTGAGCCACTGTCAAACTACTTGTTTCCCCAGACGACATGTAAACTTACGGCGCCCGTCCATATGCAATTTGTGGCGGTGGCCCATGCTCGGCCCAAAGTTGCCAGGGTCACAGCCGTGCCCAAGAGAACTCTCAACGAACAAATGCTTGGGTGGCCGAAATGAAACATCATCTGTGTCATCCGCAGCTTTTCTGACCCCAACTGAACTAAGCCGTGCGCGGATTGCAGCACACATGTTGTGACTTTTAAAGTGATGTACGAGGTCCAAGGCATGGTCCGCAGCTGTAATTTTCAATAATTGTCCACTCAGTCTGGTGTCCGGCAATTTGAATAATGGCTAAGTCAAGACTTTGCTACTTTGAGCAAAAAGCCTCTAACAAGTCTGACAACAATAGGTCAAAGGTTGTGCCTTCAATGTTGGTCCTCGATTAAAACAACATTGAGATTCATCATCAAAGTGAAGCATTCCCTCCCTCTCAAGCGGGACATGCTCTATTGATTTGAGTCTGGCACCATCCCAAAACTGGAAAGTTACCTTTTCTTGGCCAAACATGGCAGCTGCAAGGCCCGAGCTGTCAAGGGGCACCAAAAGGGCCCTGAGAAGTGCACCAAGGATCGGTTCGAAAGTTTGGAAGTCGGCCACACTAAAGCCATGACCCCGGGCACAGCTGTCGACTGCTTTTGCGCAGAAATACACTCCCCTGCCGCTGGGCAACGTCCAGAGGGTGGAGCTGTAAAACACCACCTCGATACCTGATGCTACAGGATGGCACAGCATCCGCGGGGCTATCTGAAGGGTCCAAAAACGTCTAGTAAAATTCACGAAAACTGGTCTTAAGCAAGTTGGCGACGAAAACCGGCGAAAGTGGGCATAGAGCGGGGCCAACTTCTGACCACCAGCTTCTGCTGACATTTTCCGACCCACGGCCCCGGAGGGCGCAGAAGCACCAAACCGCGTGCCATGCTCTGTCCGCTCTGATGCCGCGCGGTGGGGCAGGCCGCTTCAAGAGCAAAACCCGTTTTTTTCCGCCCCAGCGGGCATCGGATAGCGAGTGAACTGTGACGACCTCGAATGAGGGCTTCAGGACATCCGAGCTTCACCCCTCGCAACCCTCACAGAAACACGGCAAACACATAATTGTGTTTGCCTTTGAACTACCCATATTCACTGAACCTCAAACTGGGCCTTGAAAAGACGATCCCTGACGTGTTGCGAATCTCTCTCTGAGATCTGTGAAAGCCTCAGACCCCTGGGAAGCATCCAGCTTTTAAACTGCGCCGCTGCAGCGAGGCCGCTTCTCCTCTCACAGCGCTGTCGGTCACTCAGTCGGTCGAGTTTTGTCAGGGCCGAGCGGTCGATCGACATCGCACTTAAAATCTTGGCTGTGGAAATGACAACCAACAGAACCGTACCAAAAAACCGAAGCAGCGCAGCACATGTCTGGCCGAAATAAGCTAACTTCAGCCAACCATTTGGGCAGTCTGTCCATTGTGGGCCCAGGGTTTTGGACATTTCTTCAATCCCAGGGTCTCAAGCGTGAAGTGGACGGCGATTTCCACATCTCTGTAATTTTTTGCGGTTGCCAGGCGGTTGCCAGGCTGCCAGCCAGCAACTCGGGCAGCAACTTCGACTCCCGTCATATTCGAACTTTGGCTTGCGGACAGCGTGAACAGGATGCGGCCAGTGCTTCACCCGAGTGCTGCTTTGCGTGTCGAACAAATGCCCGAATCGTTCGTGTTGCAGCCACAAATGTTAGGCAACACTCAAATGCATGCACGCATTAAAGGCATTTTGAGCTTGGCCTTCATCATTTTGCCAAGGTGCCGACCAGAACTCAAACGGTTCGACACCTCGCCAATGACACAGCCGGTTAGCCTACAGGCCGAGCTAAAACGAAGCACGTATTCTGATATTGCAGCAACCCCGAAAAAGGGAAGCAAATTCTTTGACGCACTGGCCCCATGCCAGTGGTGTGGTCTAGGCCATGCCCTCAAATTGCAAGGTTGTCAAGCAATGCGGCAAGAAACCACTGCAACCAAAGGACTTGATACGCTCTGGTTGCAAGTGAAAATGCATCGATGAACCCTTGTCGGTCCACTGTCCCTACATGAGGGGGTCTGCGGGGAACGCGCCAAAGCCCCGCATATCCAAGGCCTCTCCACACCCACCCTGGGAGTACACCCTGGAGAAACTCGCTGGACTAAATGACAAAGTTCTCTAACAACAGCCAGCCCGGAATGGGGCGACTCCTAGGTACTGCGAGGGTGTAACAGAAACAGATCCTTGAATACGGCTATGCCGGTGCTAAGCCAGTTCTGCCCGCATCTGCGCTGCGAAGGCAGCTTCACCCGGGTAACATCACCCATTGCAAACAGGGCCTTGGCTTTTCGTTGTCACGTACATTGTTTTAACCAACAAACTAGGTGCCGGGCATTGCTCACATGCTTTAAAAACACCCCCTCAAATCCAAGGCAATCATGCCGGGTTTCTGAGCGAAATCCCAGAAACAGATTTCTTAATTTATGCGTGCAATTGGCGCAATGCAACGGCCACTCTCCTGGCGAGTGCCAAGCTGTTCCAGATTCGAACAGCGAAAAGAAGCGGGTTTGGTTGTTGTTGACCTCTTGCTCCACTCCTCCAAGTTAAGTTCACCTATTTGCTGCTCAACTTTCGCTCCAACCGAAGGAAAACGGGGGAGCTTGACCAGTGATGCGAGCAACAGTACAGCTCTGGGAGGTGAGCCAGAGCCACAAACGCAAGCAAGGCATAAGCCTTATACAAGTGTCAGGAGTCTTGGAAAAAAAGAAGAAAACAATTATATTCCTCTGTTGGGTGTCCCTTTGGATAAATTACACATGACTTCTTAGCTCCACACCCGCAAACTCAAGACCTGAAAATGCCCTGTACCCAACGTTTCTTGCATGCAGGCAAGTGGCGAGTTCAGGCGATCGAATGGTCCTTGCCTGCAGCAGCTTGCGCGCGTTGCGCGAAGAGGTCAGAGCATAGCTACGCACATTTGAGCAGCGCTCAAACCCCATTCAGATGGTCTCAAAGGTTTAGAGGCCTTCCAATCTCCCAAGACCAGATAGCTGGAACCAGCTCCTATGGCCACTTTGGAGTTTGGCTGCTCATTTGCGCCTTGGCCTGCTGTGCTTGTAGCAAGAGAAGTCTTTGGGACAAGTTGGGCAGGAAAGCTCCCTAGGAACCCTAGGGAGCGCATATGGGAGGTCTAAAAAACGGGGGGAGGGTATGCCATTTCATGAAAATGATTGGCAACAATGGCTTTGATTTGTTTCTGCCGAAGATTACTGGACGCATCCAAACTGTTGTCCGATGCCCTCACAGGCAAGGAGGAGGAACACGACGGGGAATAGCTCACAATCATCCTTCGTAGGTTTCATGGAAAAGCCGGTTGTTTCTAAAAGGTCTAAGGGGCCAAGGTTTCAACAAAGCCCAGCCATAATTGGTACATCATGAGTAAAGCCCAAAGGGCCGAACCTGTCATCTTGCTTGAGGTCGGACAAGTCAGGTCTCACATCTTTGCCACCAAAAGCGGGCCGGGTGTCCAAATTGCGGCTTTCCCAGGGTGGGGATAACCAAGCAACAAGTTGCTCCGGTCGATGCAGCATGAACGTGGGTTCTGAAAACATTCCCCTGCCTGGAAACTCGCTGCCAACAAAGTCCACCACGGAATACTCCACGTGTCCGAATCCTTGGTGCCCAACTCATGCATAAACTTGCTGGTTAATTTGGGGTTGGAAATCCCAACATGTGAATGTCAAATTGTGGTTTAATCGGGCCATAAAACTAAAGAAATCACCCTTAGATGACTTCATTTCGCAAAACAAATAATCCGGTTGGCTTCCCCTCAAAACACTTTGTAAAGGGTATCCTCGACAGCTATCTTCAACGAGCCGATCAAATCGCGCTTTTCAGAGAAGGGAAGAACCCCCTCTTTATGGGGGCGATTCTCTCCAGGTGCCCGAATATCTCGGACGATGGCAGGTGGGATAAGGGTGGGCGCCATTTCTTTGGTCCGACAGGATGGCTGGCCAAGAAGCCTTTCACCTCCGCACTCTGTGGACAAGAGTTGATCAAGCCATCGTCCACCTGGCAGGCGAAGTCCAACAACGCCCCCACCCATTCCATGGGAGAGCCGGGACACATAATATGAATATATATATATATATAATACTCGCATGAAATCGTATAGGCGTAGATGTGTGTATTGGCTTTTCTGGTATTTTTTATTGTTCTTGTATTGATGTGTACGCAAAGGCGCAGACACACAAACACACAAACACACCTTGGCGTACACACTGACATTCATTACCTCCGGAATGGTTTGTTTGCCTAGCACGGTATCCGTCCCAGGCCTGTGCTGCCGCTCTTTGCGCAGCTTCCGAATTGCCCCCAGGAGGAAAATCACTTTTAGTGCGGAATCCATCACAAAAGGGGTGCCACTGGGGGTCTAGGAGGGTTGATTAGCAACGGCTGATCTGTGGCAGGGCCTGCGCCTGAGTTACTGGCTTGAATCGTGGCAGATTCTCAGCCCTCACATCTAACTTTGCCCCAAAACCAAACACTTGAAATGCAAGCGTCAATCTGTGGTTGCCAGCCTGCCAACCACGCAAGCAAGCAACCAAGCCACCCACGCTTGTGCCAAACAAAGCCAAACCACCGGATCCTGTGACCCCTGCAACATGTTCAGCAAAAAACCCACGCGTGTGTAAGCATGCCTTCATGTGAAAGATAAACGTACATCCATAATGAATGTGTTTTGGAGCTGCTAACTGCTACCCCTTTCTGTTGTACAAGCCAGAAGGAGGGCGAAGTCGTTAAAATACAAACAACACACACACACTTTGAGACAGAGCCAGACAAAGACTGGTACGTGGCGTGAAGTGAACCCAGATCAAAGGACTTCGGGCCGCAAAGGTCCTGAACAGCTCGTTTTCAGTCCGGACCCGCCCCTAGTCCAGCCAAAATTCGACCCCCTATAAAATTTCCCGATTGGAGACTGCTTGGCCAACCCGTTTCCTTTTGGGGCTCTCTGCGACAACTCCTGCGTAGGGTTGCTGTTTCTTCTTGCGAAAATAGAAGCGTCCACTTATGTCTCGGCTCATCCTGCTTTTGGGTCAGACTGAGTTCCCACTTAAAAGGCCAGCATCTTGTCGCTCATTTTACCCGCAACTAAACTCGAAACCAATAGGACTGGTCCCGCCTGCTCCGTGAGCTTCGATGCGAAGTCGGAACAACATGCGATTCGCGAGCGCGGGCACATTGACTCCAGTCGCTGCGAAAGGTGGATGGTTGATCCGAAGACCTGAGGCGAGAAGGACCTGAGGGTTCCCAAGCCCCGCTCTTATAGACCCTGATGTAGAACAGCAAGATTGGGCATCCTCTTTGGGGCTGATCACGTGTAGAGGGAACCCGCGAAAAAATAAATTAAACAAACAACGGAAAGGTGCACTGAACTGGACAATTGAGGACCTCGCGAGCTTTTGTTGGTGAAACTCTGGTATCGTAGAAAGCCCGATACTTTCGACCCGGTGGTTTGGTGGTGAATGGAGGGGTTCCCATTTACCATCTACAAAAGGGTTCAAACCTCAAACCACAAATCCAAGCCATCAAATGTGTTGGGGATAACTGACTGTTCAAAAACCTTCCTTTCAGAAGAATTGTGAAGCGAACGGTTCTCGCCAAGAATGGGGGGTTCCCCCAGCCCAGCGCCAAAGCTACGGTGTTGCCACTTAAACACCCGGACACATTAAAAAGGTCAACAAAGATTGCACACTACCTACGCCAGCTTTTCCGCCAGCCCGTCCGACCAATCTAAACACCCGATTCAGATAGGTATCTTGCGTTACGTCTTGAAAGCCTGCCTCTTGCCCAGCCCGCCTGCTTGAACACCCGGGCGTTCCGGAAACTAAAGCCGGCGAAGAAAGGCAAAGTCAGAGCCAATGTAGCAGCGGTGTTACTGTTACATGGGCTCGCACGTTACACTTTACACGCAGCTGTGTTTCCGCGAAGCCTCTGCGAAGCCTCTGCGAAGCCACCACAGACCAACACTTCGAAAGCCCACGCCTTCAATCTGGAGGCCCAAGTCGTTCTTGTCAACTTGCTTGCTTCTGATTGTTGCCTATTACATCTTCCGCAACTAGTCGGTTCTTCTGGGATTTGCTGAAAAACAGGCCCCATCCCAAGAAACCAGGAGATTCAATAATTTAAGGAAATCTGGGCGTTCCCTCCAGCAAAAAAATGTTTTTGTATCTTTCTTGCGTTCTTTCTCCACGAGCCGCTGCACCGCTATACTGGTGCTAGGGATTTGGGACAGGATTTTGCGAATATGAGATGGTCCTTTTGCATGGTTCTGAAACAGGTCTGAAACAGGCCTGACACAGGGCCCAATGCCAGATCCAGGTAGTTTCTCTCTCTTTCTCTCTCTCTCTCGCTTCTCTTTCTTCTCTTCCAATTCTTTTCATTTTGGGATTTGTTGAAAAAAACAGGTCCCTTCCCAAAACGCCAGAAGTTTCAAGAATTCAATCAAATCTGGAAGCCCCGTCCGAGATAAGAGGCATTCATGTCTTTCTTGCTTTCTTTCTCCACGAGGACAGGGCTTAGGCAGCTCAATTCAGCGCACTGAGCTCCGCAATTCCAGGCATTTATGTAGCATGGAATTACGAACGCATTGGTCTGCAATTGCAGGCATCGGTGTTGCACCGACATGGCACCTTAGGTTGGCAGGAGCTAGCGCAACGCTGCTGCTAGCAAGGGCTTAAACTGGGTTACGCCCCGTGTTTACGGGGAAGGGGTCTGTCTCGGTGTTGCAATTTAAATATGCTAATTAATTACTAATTAATATTTCATACTACCTCCAGGGCCCGTGGGGGCCAACCACTTTAAATATCCGATTTAAACAAGTGTCTTACACCACCTCCCAGCCCTGAAGCCCTGGCCCGGCCCCCACATATTTAAAAGTCGTCACCGTAGAAAGACTTTGTCAGTTTTGGTGGGATTCTTTGTTTCTTATTTGGCGGGACGCTCCGGACGCACGACAGCCGCAAAGGGCTCACCTAGGAAGAAGCGCAACAGTCCGCAAAGCAGCCGCTTTTCTGAACCTTCCAAAACACAACAAGTCAAGGCTTTACTTTTGCAACACACAAGCTACCAAAGCCAACCCTTCGGGCGAAGCTCGCCGCTGACATCGCCGAGCTGCTCGAAAGTTCCGCCCGTCCACAACTCCGGCACAAAGCGGCCCGGAAGCGATGCCTCGGAGAGACCCCTCCCTACCAAAACGGCACAACTTAGCTGGCGGGTAGTAAAGTTAAACCGGTGACACAATCATGAAACCATGGTCTCTCACACATGGGCCAGCAGTGTTCCGAGTGTTGCGAGTAGGGGTGCATTTCGTGTGGTTATGGGTGAGGGTGTGATTGAATCACAAGGTTTAAGTAGATGACGCCATCAGCGTTGTTTGTAACACGGATGGCTAAACCAACACGGGGAAGTGCAAAGGGAAACCTAACTCGACGTCGGTGCCACTCTTGGAGTGGCCCCCCAAAATCAGCCAGCTCTTTTTGGGGTTTCCGGCTTTTGGCTGGTGTTCAAGGATAGTCAAAAAGAATACACATATTTTTTGGGGGTCTTCCCATATCAAGCCCAGAACGGGAAGCGACGCTCTGATCGGGTTCTGAACACCTTTCAGGGGGGAAATGGTTGTGTGCCAAGAACCGCTTGGGGCACTTCACAACCCAACTTGAAGCCGAAAGCGTCGAAGGGCCAAATGAAATGACTCCATAGGATGTTGGATCCATCTGGGTGCTTCAGGGTTCAATATCGGCTTGTACCTTGCCACCTTCAAGCATCTCAATGCTCGGCCAAGACCCTTCAGGTTGGTTACCACTTTGGCGGAACAACGCTAAAAGGAATCCACCGAAGCGCGCTGCACCACGCGTACCCTCAATGTGGTGGTCTTATGGGTATGTGTCTAAAAAGGACACCCACCCCCCAAATCAAAAAGCTTCAGTTTTCCTTCTGCTTTCCCTTGAGACTTTCAGGGTACCTCAACAACACGGAGCCCATCTCCAAGTGGCCCACACGCAAGTACATGTCTTCCTTGCCATACGTAGAGAGCATCTCGTCCACGGCCTTTTGCACCTGCGAGCCGAAGGGAAGCCATTTGAGGATAGCTGCTAAGGGCGTCAATTAAAGGGCAGCAAAAAGGAAAAAAACAAAAAACACTTTGAGTGTCCCTCTTTGACCACCTTAAGGCTTGAGGGGGAAACCAACAAGCCCTTTAGAATGGGAAACAATCTGACAGACAAGCAAGTCGAGCCACAAGCAAAACTACCAAACAAGGTTGGCCACCATTCATGTTTATTGTATGTTGATTTCCGATTGCAAACGGCTACCCGTATTTGTCACTGCTTGGGGTGGGCTCTGCGGGATCGCGACGTTTTCACATTGCATGGGCACGAATGCGGCCTGCAAACTGCCTTGGGGCACACCAAAAGGGCAAAACTTCAGATAAGGGCGCAAACTTCAAGCACTTTTTGCCGGGCCTTGCTCGCAACGTAAATCCCGATGGCCGCGGTTTTGCCGGGGAAGTTCGCCATGAACTCTGAGTTGCACAGAAGAAGCAAGCCTCGCTCGAATGTGGCGACCCATCTGCGCAAGAGACAAAGCAGTCCACGTGTCCTCTGGAGCGAGGATTGTTTGAAGTCCAGGCAAGTGAGTGGAACATCACCCACAAAAATGGACAACACTCAGTGATGCTTAAACTGGAAAACATGACAAATCATTCACCACCAATGTGCAAGTTCTACAATAAAACCAAAACTGGACATAAGAAACCCCGAGCAAATGACCTACATCATGGTGAGCGGGTTTTACCCCCGTGAGCTCCCTACAAAATACAATGAACTCGTAAGATAAATGTATGCGCCGAGTGACTGTCTCCCACGACTTCGTGGATGTAGACATACGGTAGCGCTTCCTTTTCGACTACAGTGCTCGCAGTGACATAGACCTGGAACAATAGACAAGCTCAAGACACTTCCGGCCCCACAGTTCAACAGGGTGTTCGGAAATTTCAAGAACAAACAATTGCACACCTCATGTCTTCTTGGGATACTCCAAATTCTGGGCAGTGTAGCTTCTGGCTAGCAACGTGCGAAGTCTCAACAGGTTTTGCATCCCACGATGGCCTCAGCTTTCATGACTGGCGTTGAGACGCGAAGAACGTGGCAGCCACACACATGGCACTAGTGCTTTCCAGCTCCGGCGGATGCTCCCCTCTAAACCCTGTCTGAGAAGAAACTTCCTCCTTCCTGGAGCGGGTAGAGCCCCAGGGTACACGAGTCTGTATGGAAGATCGGCCCCCAAACCTCCCGGTTCCATCCTTTTCCTCGTTTGCTCACTGTTTTGTATCAGACAAAAATCACCAATTCCTTCTCATTGGCCCGTCCAAAGCCAGAGAAACACCTTTACTAACCCAAAGGGTCCAAGTACCTTCTAAGGAGGTCCTTAGACCCCTTTTAACCCCCAAAAGCCATCCTCATGATGTACTTGGACCCTCTGGGTAAAGGGGTCTTTAAGATGATTTTGAGGTTGACTCACATGGCACAATGTGAGAGGTCGGCCTTGTGCAGCAGCTCTGCCATGACTCGAGGTGATTGCTGCTTTGAGAAACCTCAATCCGGGCAATGCTCGCATGCGATTGGGCGAATTTACCTTCCCACCAATTGACATGCAACCTGCAAGGGGGGGGGGTCCTGCTTTTTAAATGGAACCCCCTGTCAGGTGCCATGTTAATTGATGATCGAAACCCGCCCTGCAGAGTCCGAGAAAGGAGGCAAAGTTTCTGTTATCGCCCACATGGGTGTCCGTATTATTCATGACTGCCGTATCAGCTTAAAGGGGGGTCTGTTGAAACATCGCTCAATATCACAAGAGATATCCCTGAATCAGTCCCCATGGCCCCGTTGTCATTGTCACTTTGAGGGGATGACTTGGTATCGCAAAAGAGTGGCCCTAACCCCCTGGAGGGGTTAAAACCTGCAATGCCCGACGACGACACTGCTGCACGTTGGCTGGTGGAATTGGCGATGTCCGTCATGATGCAAGCAGCCTCCTGACAGGAAACGGCGGCATGCCAATGGGATTTGACTCGGGCTTGGATTTGACTCGAAGGCAATTTGGTAGGCATCATTTGCGGATGTTAACAATCATGGTTGAGATATGTTGGGATGCGTTCCGCACCAAAACCGTAGCCCTGCAAATCATTACGTAAATAAAGGCTTGCATGCACTTGGAGCTACTTTGGGGCCAAATCCATCAAGCAACTTTGGGTCAGGTACTACACACTCACACCTGGTAGAAAAGCGGAATTGTGGCCAACAACTCAGACAAATAAAGCCCACTGAACAGATCGTAGCCCACCGCCAAGACCCAAACAAGTATATCTTCACATTGTGCTTCATACTTTGTCCACCTTATAGACAAAGTATGCTGGATGCTCTTACCAACAAGTACGACTCCAGTCCGAAACGGAACTCGGAAAGTGAGAATATCTCCCCCGGGGGATCCGGTCCCAGATCCGACGGTCGCATCTGTGTCCTGCGCGTCCGCGAGGTGAAGCCCCGGCTCGCGGCGGATGTATTGACCGAAGCCGCGGGGCACGCTGTTGGGTAGCTTTCCCTGAATTCGCTCGAAGACCTCGGGGGGGAATTCCCCCGGAAGCCGGAAAAATGGATTCCGTTTATAGCCCCAACATAGGGGACAAACCTATACTTCCCCATGCGATATGGTGCTTGCCCAGGTGCAAACCACCTGCCAACTGTTGATCAGCGAGACACGCGCATGTTCCTAAAAGCCAAAGGTCAAATATCCAACCAAATGCCATTGCAGTACCAACTGTTTCAAATGACAGTCTGACACGCCAGTGTTCCAGCATGTGTAACCTCGGGTGATCATAGGAAGATGTTGGCAACTGGCTCGAAGCATTCCTGAGTCTGGACGTTGTTTTGCTCCAGACTGCCTTGCCAAAAGTTTTTTGTTCAGTGGGATATAGAAACAAACATGTCACGTCGCGTCTAGTGAGTGTATGGCTAGGCCATGTGCCAAGCCGAGCTTTCAGTTTAGTTGGAAGCCAAGGCGCTAATCTCGCAGACAAATCCAGATTCAGCTGGACCTGTGTTGCAGCGCATGTGTCAAGATAGGGCAAGCCAAACCTGGCTTGTGGTTGTCCTTTTGCTTCCCCTTAACACCAAGCCGGAAAGGGTATATATGCACACACACACACTTACACACTTTTACCATCGTTCTCAACCTACCAGTGGGGGGGGGGGGAACAAAACAGACAATGAATCTCGAGAACCTTCACCGTGGGCAACTGAGAACGATCCCTCAAAAGTTAAACGGTTGGAGGGACGTGTCATGGGAATACCTTGGAAAGAACAGGCATGGAATCAAAAGGGTACCCTTTGCAATGGCTAATGAGGGCCCACAACAAAAGATCCCTCCAAAAGTGTTTTTATTTTCATGGGTGATTCCTAGGGGTCTGAACAAATCAAACATGCAAATCCCCTCTTGGCTTCCAATCTGCGGGGTCAAGCAAATAGAATGCACTCGGCCCGTGCATGCCTGTGCTCTCAAGTAATAAGGGTTTTGCCCTTTTTCCAGGAAACGCTACAAAACGCCTGGGTGAAACGGGCTGTCGAAGAACCCGCCAAGCATCAGAAGCAGGCCCAGGTTCAAATCGGGACATTCCCGGGCGCAGCTCTCTATTTGCCTCTGAGCTACGGTCAGTCGGCAGGCAATCGGGTTGCCATCCGCATCTATGACGATACTGTCACCTGAACACAGGCCGCTGGTGCGGACAGCAAACTTGGATAGCAAGTTGCGATCGCCTGTTTCCATCCACTCTAACCCCCAAAAAATAGAAGTGACTGAAAAAACACAGCTTGGCTATCCAGGTGCCTAATGACTTCAGGCTGGGCGAGTCCACACTTTCCTAGTTCGCATGCCGTGAGACACACGGTTGCAAGCCACTCGCCCGATGGCTGTAAGTAAGATGAAGGCGTTCCAAGGAAACAGTGCCTCCCCGAATCCTGGAAACAGTTCCCGGATGGTATCACAGTGGTTGAAAGATCCAACCACGTTCCCATCAAACTGGGATAATTCTTAAAGCCGGTTTGGATGTATCCTACTATCGCTTCTGTGCAATGGGCACCAAATTGGGACACTTGGTGGCATAAGTGATTCCAGCTCGATGCTTCACATGATCGTAGCCTACCCCCCCCCCCCACACCAGGGAAAAATGAAACTCCACACCACGTGGAATTTTAGTGGAGTCACCGCCCTCCGCCAATATGCTTTAGCTGAACGGCTCAATGCCTCCGTACAAAAAGTTCAACTGGTTGATCCCCGCATGCTGCCGGGTTAACTCGCCGGCTGGCGCAAGCGAACAAGAAGCCGAATTGGCCCCCAATTGAGTTGTCAGCTCCTAAGCATTGTCACTTGCACCATGTTACATCTGTTGAGCGTGGAAAGGGAAACACGTTTGCCCCAAAAACTTGGTAGTCCAAAGATCACCCAAAGCCCCAGTCAAAAAGGGGCACCTTCTTTTGGGCAGTTGATTTCAAAGGGTAACTCCTCCAAAGGCCAGCAAACTAGCAGCCAAGTCGCAAACTGGTTGTGTCCTTTTTTGAGTACCCTTCTTGGGTTTGTTTGAAGCGAAACCAAAGGGGAACCATTTGCGAGTTCACCCATTTCTATCCATTTCTCACTTTTTGAGTTGAATGGCCAAATAAAGTCCGAACTGTGTGTTTACCCCTAAAATGGTCTTCCGACAAACATATTGAAGTCCATGTCTTTCAGGGAGCGAGATGTTTAGAGAAGCTCGGCTGAGTTACAATCAAAACCCGGTATTAAAATGGTCGACCCAGGACCATGTAAAGAATTAAGAAGGCGGCCGCAGCTATTAATGGTTGGGTTTGTCCCTTACTAACCTTCATCTACCCGGGCTTTGACTGTGGCTCAGCTCGGAGTCGGATCGTTCGAAGGCGCGGCAGCGAAGGTGGTTCATCTTTCGCGCCGCTGCGCGCTCCGCCGCGCCAGCGTGGCGCAAGCGCCGGAAGGTCGCAGCCTGGCTGGGGGGGAGGGGAGGGGGTCCCCCGATTCCATTTATCCTGTCTTCCGCATGAAAGGGCAAATGGAACTATAAATTGAATTCCAGGGGTCACCCCCCCCCCAATTCCATTTTTAAGGGGGTGGGGATCCCTTAAGCCCTCAATAAGGCCTGCTTATTTGGGCTCCCTCCTCCCCCTCCCCTCCCTCCGCCCCAGCCCCCATGACGAAAGGAGCTCCAAAACCCGGAGGGGGCGTCCCATGGCGGGGAGTTTGGCCAAAGGTTTCCCTCTAAAGCAGGAGGGGCCGCAAGGCAGGGGATAATTTACTTCCGGAGTGGATTGGTCAAAAAACGGCTGCCATGGTCCCACAAAAGTGCTAGTTTGCTGTTCGCGTCCCTTCAAAAGACACAATGATGACCCCTCAATTGGTACTGCAATTGGGTGTTCAAGCAAAAACCCGTTTCAACAGGACGGAAACAATGGCATTCCTGAGTGCCTGGGAAAAGATAAACACCCCTTTGGCAAAATCAGGCCTTCACGGTTGGGGGATTTCCCAAGCCTGGTACAGTTGGAAATTGGGTCCCCTGAGAGGAGAGGTTCCATGCACCCAAGAAAACAATATCTTGCTGCTTCCAGGGGGGCTATCCAAACATTCCAGTCATTTCCTGGGTGGATTGGACTGCTCTTCAACTGGTTTATGTCAAGTAGATGGCACCATTTCCCCATGTTGGCTTAATTATCCCCTTCACTTACCCACGAACTATGAACTGTGCCATCTTACAATCTACTTTCACCCTGTGACCAGCTTTCAGCTGAGAACTGGCACAAACATACGCACGCACACACCACACAAACACGCACCACGCAAACATACACCACACTGCACAAACACCCACCCACCCACCCACCCACCCAGGCAAGCACGCACGCACGCACGCACGCGCGCACGCACGCACGCACGCCAAACACGCGCACGTGCCCACACACTCACATGCACCGAGGCACACACACACAGACACACAGACGCACAAACACACAGACACACAGACACCCAGACACGCAGACACGCAAACACACAGACACACAGACACGCAAACACACAAAAACAAAAACACAAACACACAAACACACAAACACACAAACACACAAACACACAGACACAAACACAGACACAAACACAGACACAGACACAGACACAAACACAAACACACACACACAAACACACAAACACACAAACACACACACACACACAAAAAAAACACAAAAATAAAACACAAACACACAAACGCACACAAACACAGAAACACAGAAACACAGAAAACCAGAAACACAAACACAAACACACACTCACACTCTGAGAGCCTCACAGCCACACGCACACACAAATACCAAACTCGCACACAAAACCAATCATACTTGAGAGCAAGCCACATGAGCATCGGCCACGACTGTCGACATCAGCTTGAAAACGCTCCTTAGATCACTGAACGCATGTCACTTTTCCCTTGGTGGTTTGATTGGTGGCTTTCACGAGCCGCAAAAAGCCTATCGATTCTTGGTCCTGTCGGCATGGCCATTCACGGTTTAGGTGCGGGCACCTGGCTTTCCCATTCACCATCTGCAAAAAGCAAGTCGCCCATGAAGCCTGATAAAAAGCACAGGAACTGTTCCCTCTTCTGTTCCAATGTGTGACCTTTGCCCCCAACCGTTTATTGCACATATTACACGGCAAAGGAACCCATGAAACCGAACCACATGATGGTTTCGCTCGTAAGTTACGCACGTACCGTTATTATCTGAAGAGGAGTGGCAGGGTTCCTAAAGTTCCCCTTTAAACCATCACTCCAACAGGGCAACACCTTAAGTTGTCAACAACGGTAATGTTTAACCACCCCAACAAAAAAGGTTACCTTACCCTGGATTGCTGAACCGGTCGGATTGGTAGTTGGGGGCGTTTTTCCTCCAAATCAACCCCCACTAAAACGGGGCACGCTCTCCCAATCAAGTTCAACCCGTGGTGTCTTAATGCCTGGTTTCCAATACCTGCATTTGCCGAAGTCTAAGGTTTGGCGAACAACCCTTTTGAGCATACAACTGCACAAAAATGATGTGCTTCATGCTGCTTTGCAACGAACAATAGCTGCATGTAGGTGTTTGGCGTATTAAATTTCATCGTAGGGGCTGCAGGGTTGAAGGTAGTTGGTGTGCTCAAAAGGCCAACATGAAAAAGTAGCTCGCGCTGTTTGGGCACAAATTATGGGATTTCCCTGCATAACTTGGGGGCTGTTCAAACACTAAATTTGGGGTTCGTTTGGGATCTGGATGACTGCTATCCGATTCCGGGAACACCCGGTTTGTAAGGGATTGGCGCATACCCCAAAAAAAAACCTCGATTTTGGGAGCTACCCACACTGCAGCTCTCCTACGACCTCCAAGTGGTCACTATGTAGGGTGACCCATCCAACAAAAATCTCACATTTCTGAACCCCCCAAGGCCCGCTCGAATGAAACCCAGCCCCTTTTCAAAGACAGTGCCTTGTTTGGGACAACATGAAATGCAGTGGCCATTCGACCATTCGTTGCGAGCCCTGACGGGAGCTCCCAATGCTGCAGAACTCCGCTGGAAAAACAGTGAGCAGTAGGGGTATGCTGAGAAGTTGTTCTCCAATGCTAGATTAAGTGAATTGGACATGAAGCACAGTACACGGCTCCCTGAAAACTGTGTTGTATCGCAGTGGCATACCAATCATCTCCTTCATGGTGTAGCGAAGTAGGCGACACAGCCTCTGCTGCGCACTTAGCGGCTTTGCGCAGGCAGGTCGGCTACAAGTGCCCTCCACAAAACAAACAAAAAGAAGGCGCATTTTAAACTGGCCCAAAGGACTGATGCTTCAAAACCCCAACAACGACAAGCAGATAGCTAAATGAGATAAGACAAAACAACAAAACAAAACAATACATGTACTATACAAATAAAAACACAAACACACAGGGGCACACACACACCCACGCACGCACGCACGCACGCACGCACGCACGCACGCACGCACGCACGCACGCACACACGCACGCACGCACGCACGCACAAACACACACACACACACACACACACACACACACACACACACACACACACACACACACACACACACACACACACACACACACACACACACACACACACACACACACACACACACACAGACACACACACACACACACACACACACACACACACGCGCGCGCAAATGCACACACACACACACACACGCGCGCAAATGCACACCCAGACGAGACGAACATCCAACCAAACAAACAAACAAGCAAGCAAAAAAAAACACACAACCAAACAAACAACCAAGCCAATCACCACACACGGACATTTGCCCAATTGCCCTTCCAACAACGTTGCAGATACTTAGCCCGCGATGGAACCCGCAACCTCCCAAGCATCCGAAGTCACGGGCGCGCTGCCATTATGCCCCACATGTCTTGTTTGTACGTGTTGTGTTTGTGCTTGTGTATGCGTATGCGAATATATGTGCATGTACGTGTGTACGTGAATATGTGTGTGCCTGTGCAGGCATGTGGTAGAAGGTATGCCGCGCGATGCACTGCAATGCAATGCAATGCATGCAGTACGATGCTATGATTCATCAAAAGTAATTTGGGTCGTAGATCCGGTAGGTTTAGATCCGGGGGGTTTCAGTAAGAACAGCTTAAAAAAAACACATGATTCGAAACGAAATGCACTGAAGGCAAGCATGTGATCCGGGGGGGTTCAGTAAGAACAGCTAAAAAAACACGTGATTATTCAGAACGAAATGCACTGAAGGCAAGCATGTGTGAGCACTGGGTTTACAAATGGGCATCTTGACAATTGTCGATTGCGCAGCGAGCATTGCCACTGTCACTGGCATGCTGTCACTTGTCAATTGCCAGCTTGCGTTGAGCAAGCGCCGCACACCCCTTTTCCGGACCAAATGTCTCTCAGCCTCTCTCAGACGTCTCACCTCAGGAAACAGAACTCAAGCCTGCAAATGACACGTGTGAGTCATGAGAGCTGTGATTGAATCAACACCATGCCACTGGAAGCAAGGAATGCCACTGGAATCAAGGACGCGCAGCAAATCTCGCTTCGGTTTTGACCAGCAGGCGGCCGAGGGTCTTCCTAGAATGAAGGCCCCGAAGTGAGCATGAATTACAGACTGACAGATTCCATGTGGCTGTCAATCAATTGAAATAAGTCAACTGCCGCGCCGCCGTGTGTGTGCGTGTGCGTGTGCGTGTGCGTTTGCGTGTGCGTGTGCGTGTGGGTGTGTGTGTGTGTGTGTGTGTGTGTGTGTGTGTGTTCGGTGTGTGTGTGTGTGTTCGGTGTGTCTGTCTGTGTGACTGTGTCTCAGTGCGTGTCTGTCTGTGGGTCTGTGTGTGCGTGTGTGTCCGTGTGTGTGTGTGTCTCTGTTTCTCCGTGTTTGTCTGTGGTGTCTGTGTGTGTGTGCGCGGCTGTGTGTGTGTTTCTCCGTGTGTGTCTCTGCGTGTGTGTGGGTGTGTGATATGTGTGTGTGTGTGCGTGTGGGCTGTGTGGTGTGTGTGTGTGTGTTTGCGGGGGTGCGGTGTGCGTATGTCATGTGTCACCTGTCTGTGCATGTCTGTCTGTGTGTGTGAGTCTGTCTGTGTCTGTCTGTGTGTCAGTAAACGCTGTAATGTAAGAAAGCAAAGGTCCGATTTTTGAACAAATGCCGCAAGTCATTGATACAGCACCAGGCTGCTCCGACATCAGGTGAAACCATCATCGGCGAGGAGTCTGGCCCAGCTTATTGATGCCACAGCACAGCTGCACGCGACCATGGCCAAAGTGTTCAAAGGGAACGGGCCGCTTCCCCATGAGTGCAAGTGTCAGTTGAACTGATCTGTCAACCTACTCAGACTCACTTGCAAATTATAGGTCCACATTTGTCATTGCTAGCAAGTGCTCACATGCAAACTCGGCTGGGCAGAGTCTCAAACTGCCGAACAGCTGGTGGTAAGGAAACACGTGCATGGCGGCGGGGCAGGGTCTGACGCACAGTTGACAATCGACTTGATCACTGACTCACCTGACAATTGACTCGACAGTTGAGTTGACAATTAACTTGACTTCACAATTGAGTTGACAATTGACTTGACAATTGATTTGCCATTGGACCTGGCGCGGCATTTGACAACTCAGTCAATTGAGCAACTCGACAAGTGCAATGTTCGGGGGGTGGGCCTTATTTTTGTCTCACTTTGCGAGCCTCGTCACAATTCCATCCACTGCCTCCCGAATGGTCTCGGGGCTTGGCTTGGACCATACGGTCGGGCTGCCCTTGAAGTGCTCCGTCCACATCATGGAAACGAAGTCCAACACTTTGGAGACCGCCTTCACCTTGGGATCAAGGCCACAGTAGCGAGGCCAGCTGGCCGTCTTCGTTCGCTGCAAGCCGGAATCCTTGAGGCTCGTGAAGTCTACCCAGACCTTTCTGTCAATCACATGCCATTTCACATACAACCCCGCGACCGGGGGAAGAAGACATTTCAACTCATCAGCTGCATGCCTGGGCCCAGCTGTCCTTTCTTGAGTCTCTGACACTGCAGCAGGAGCTCGGGAATGCGCTGGCGCTGGCATCGCAGGTGGGTCGGGCTCTGACACTGCAGCAGAAGCTTGGGAATGCGCTGGCGCTGGCATCACAGGTGGGTCGGGCTCTGACACTGCTGGGAGACTCTGCTCGCGCATAGGTGGTGCTGATGAAGACGGTTCCGCCAGATCATCACCCGCCTCAATCTCATGAAGGTCTGAAGCCAATTCAGGGATATCTTCTTGAGGCAAACTATCCACTTCGTCGTTCCTCAAATCTGCACCCTCGTCTTCCTCGCATTTTCGTTTCCGCCCAACCGGAGCACTTTTCTTCTTATTCTTCTCTTTTTGTGCCTTGGACGAGGCACAGGCATTTTGAATGATTGCAACTGACATAGCTTGAACATGAAAAAACTGTAGTGTCACCGAAAACACAAACAAGCCAAGCTTCTTTTTTCTGAGCTTGCCTTGCGTCAAATATTTGTTTCCACTTCCTCTTCTTCTCAGTGGCCTGTTTCAACTTCACAGCCTTCTTGATCTCCTTGAAATCATCAGCCTCGGTGGCATCGAGTTGCTCAAGAATCTCGGTCAGAAAGGCATCTTCCTGGGTGACCTCGCACTTCGGGGTCGTTTTCTTGTCCTTGAGCAAGACTTCTTGCAGGATGCTGGGATCAGCCAGCAAGGTGAGCAATTGCACACGCGTACACTTGGCTGGAGTTGCGTGCAACTTAAAATGTTCCACAAGGTTGCAGAGGTCAGTGAAAGTAAACCTGCTTGGCAAAGTCTGGAGCGCATACTGGAGCAACTGGACATGATGACTTTCAGGCCTCAGGAACATGCCAGTGGCCTCGGTGTAGGCAGGCTTCGTTGGAACGACCAACCATGCTGCTGGATCGAAAATGAAGATCCACTCAGCCCCCTTGCTGGGATCCAAATAGAGCCCCCCATTGCAAGAACCATCGTCGCAAGTGCCAATTGCCAATTGCCACGCGAGAGTCGCCCACTTGTGGGATTCCAGCGCCAGCCAGAGCGGGCCCCCGTCCTCTCTTTGGCACACAGTTCCTGGAAGCGCCAGCACATTCATCAGCGCGTCCTGACAAGTGGGCATTGAAAGTTGCCCAGCGTGACTCACTCTAGCAAACTTGCAACTCAAATATTGCACGCAAACCCTGAGCAGTCCTTCAATCGGACATTGCTTTGGGCGAGGTGCTTCTTCTTGTACTCGCGGGCCCAGGCCCAGCCAGCAGATGAAGCCGCCAAGGTTTTCTCAGAGAGCGCTTTCCATGTCTTGTTCTTCTTCATGATTCTGGAAAACCTTGGGGGTAGTTTGTGTCTTTTGCTCGGGTAGCAAAGATTCTTGGCGCGAAACCCTTTCACTGATCGCCTGAAATCGGAGAGGAACGACAAGCGGTCAACTGATGCTGTATGAAGCCACCTCCTCTCAGAGATCACCGGCGCCTCGTTAATGATCTTCTGGATCCGGCAAAGAGTCAGCTTCTCGTTCTGACCAGCTTTCTGCTTCTTCCGTACAAATTTGTGAAGGTCCTCGATGCACTTGTTGTCTCCAAGTCCGCCGAAAATCAACTGTAAAAGCCGGTGCCCTTCGCGACAGGACGTTGTCCAACCATTGTGCTCAAACTGATGGCAAATCAAGCGAGTCACTGTGTCAAATGACAATTGCAAATCGTCAGCCAACATTTTGGCGGCAGGAAGGCGGCTTGTCTCAAGCTGAACCAAGGTCGTGAAGTCCTCCCGCATGACTCGAAGTGCCCTGCGCACTAGCATCTCATCAGTTGCCAGGAGTCCTGCGTATGCATATGGAGGAGCGTCATGTTTTGAAAAGGATGCTGCTCTGTTGGAGAGCAAGGCCGTGACATACTTGCTGGCAGCGCTCACTAGCTCATCCTCATTGGGTGACTGGCGCATGAGTGCCTGAAACTCAGTGCAACCGATGGATAGGAAGGAGGCGATGTGACAAAGGTGTGGCTCGTGCATCCAATGCTCTGACATCAGCACATTGTACCCAATCTGCTCTGAAGCAGTCTTGACCTCTTCAACCTGGAAGGTGTACCAAGTCCAGCAGGGCTTACTTACTGCTAGAAGAACATGAGACAATTCATAGACTTTCCGCGTCATGCACCGATACACGAGCTTCAGCCCCCCTACATCCTTGAAGCTGCTCGCAAGT